TAAAATTCTAACTGGTGTACGGTGCATCTTAAGTTGAACTATCCCAGCTTTGAAACAAACTACTGTGAACCAGTAGTAATATTTAAGCATACAAGGTGATTGGTAATAACTTTTATTTTAAGTAACTTACACAATAAACACCTTAAAACTATGTGGAGGGTACGTACATTTATTATAGCATTTGCTGATACATTCAGAATACAGCTTATCAAATATGAGCAAATTTATAAGTCTATATTAAATTTCGAAAATAAATTCTATTCTATTAGTTATAGAAAAGATATATAAGTGGCCTACTTTATTTAATTGGTACAAAATACTTGAAAAAAAAACCTAATCAGAAAAAAATTAAATTGAAATTAATAATTAAATCATAAAACAACATTTAATTGAAGAATTCCTAAAAAAATAAACATAAATAAATACCTAAGATTATTTTATAAAATGATTAGTCAGTGGTACAGGCCCCTTTTTATCAAATTATTAGATAGCGTCATCTCATCATTAACGAAAATTCTCAGAAGTGGGGCGTTTTCAATCTGAAGATCGGCAATCTTTGTCTATTAAATTAGGTACTAAAAACTTGTAAATACCCATTTGCTTCCCAATTGAACCGTAAGATAATTTGAACAAAAAGTTGAGGAAAAAAATGACCTTCAAAAAAATTGAGCCGTTTGGCATGCCCTACAACCCCAAAATAACATGGTTATATAGGACAAACTTTCAATATTTTTGTAGGCCACCTTTTTTATCGATTTTGAGATCAAATTATTTTACAAGCCAAGTAGAAAGCAAAAGGGGATTTATGAGTTTTTAATACCTAATTAAATAAACACAGTTTTTCGACCTCCAGATCAAAAACCCCCAGTTCGGAGAATTTTCTTAAATAAAATATTTATAGATTACGATGAGATGGAATTATTTATGAATTTTCAGGCAGATGTTAATAATTTGGTAAAAAGGATCTGTAACACGGACTAGATTGCGTTAAAACAGGAATGTCTTTATTAAACCCTAAATCTCCAAAAACATTGCTTAACAGAATCTAAGAAAATATACATAATAATTAATAAAATAAAGTTAATTTACAAATCTTATCTTCTTGATTAACAATTATGTTACAATAAATTATAACAAATGATGACTTAGATTTCAGACCATTTCTTTTTAAAAAACAAAACAAAAAAAAAAGTATTGTTATGAATTATTAATTTGTTTTTTAAATATTGGCAAATTGATTATAAGTAAACACAAAAAGATAGTTGAGTCAAAGCAGTTAATGATTGATAGTTCATAATCTAAAAAAAGTCTTCAATTTCTCAAATCACATTTTTAAATAGTAATTTTAACTCTAAAATTGTTGCTGAAACTCAATGGAAATTAGAGAAAATTTAAAAATAATTATAAACAGAAAGAAAAACTTATCACAAGCTTGACTAAAAAAATTAAAGGTAAAACTAATTAAGTTATCAAACTTCTAAACTGCTTTAAAGCATCATACTCTCATATACAATTGCACCCAGGCAAAATTGATTTCATTTTAATTGCATTAGCATTTAGTGATATCTAAGAGTTAGTTTTTTGATTAAAGAAATTTTGGAGCGAATTATTAGGAGTATCAAATTCAAATTCACTCTCAAAATGTTGGTAAGACGGTGTTAATACTTATTATTATTAATATAATTTAATTTAAAATAGTGGGATTTAAAAAATAATTAAAAACAATAGTTTTAAGTTTTAGAAAGAACACGATTTAACAAAAATAACTCAAGCCTGTAATAAATAAATTAATAATATTTGTAACAAGTAAACATTTAGGAAGATATAAAAAAAAATAATAAACACCACGATTATTGATATACTAAACAAAACTAACTTCAATAAAGCAGTAGATTCAGCAATACCAAAGCTTTTAAGATGAAATAAGAGTTAACTTTATTTTCAGAGGGAAGAAAGCAAAATTAAAAATAATTGAAAAAGAAATTTTGATTTATAATAATTATTCTTGCAAATCTATGGATTTAATATGTTAATGAAAAAATAATAACCTTTGGCTGAAAGGTTAGGAAAATATCAAGCAGAGAAATTATTTTTCTCAATACATTCTTAAATAGTAATTTAACTACAGTCCATCCAAAAAAAGTATAATCTTAATTTTGTATAGAAAATATAAATTATTTACTTACTCTCATTACTGACTAATATATGATACATAAACAGCACAGAATAGCAGTTAAAATCAAAGGAAATAAACAAACAACTTAATAGTATTACAGAGGATAATAAAGTAGACATCCATGATAAATAATATTAAACAAACAATAAAATGAACAGAAATAAACTTATCTAGAAAATAGGCAATCAATATATCTAGAAAAATAGGCAATCAATATAACCTATGAAATCATGTAGACATAAAAAAAAATTCAATTCATGATAACAGTTCCAAATCAGATAAAAAATACTTTATTTTGAAGTTAATTATAGCAGTATTATGGGATTATAAAATAAATATTAACCCTAATACAAAAAATACCCATGAAATTAAAAATACAACAATATACAAACACCAACCCTAAACACACAATGTTCTTAAATATACATAAACCTGGAAAATAACTATTTTATTAAAATATTTTTTTCTTTAGTTTATGTGACCAATCGAATTTGTTGTTCATAAAACATTTATTCATGATACAAACCATAATGTACTTCTTTGTACACACAAAACACAGATAACAATTTACATGAGAACCTATTTATAAATTATGTTTATTTTATTCGAAAATATCCAATAATACTTTTAACATAAAAGAAATACACTATTAACAAGGATTGTTTTTATGTTTTTTTCCCACAAAAAATATTTTGTCTTTTACTTAAAATTTGATATGAAATTCATATACTACCATTTTTATTTGAATCACTAGAATTAAGTAGTAATATTTAGTAAAGGTGAAATACAACAAAAAAATTTAGACTAACCATGAGGTCTTGGTAGTAACATTTCCACAACAATCTAAAAGTCACCTGTGAGAAAGAAAAACAATTAGTGAATTAATTAATGAAGTAATGAATATTAAAATAATTGAAAGAAAAAAAAATTGAAGTTTTATATAATGTCCCTTAGACGATCAGATCGTGAATAATTTAGGAGCTTAGCTCAACCAACCCATTAGATGGGTTGTACAAACATGAGCACAGGTCAATTTGTTCGACAGGTCATGCATGATGTGTGCAGAGCCAAAGTGAGTGGATCAAAATTTAAGAAATCTGATAGTGAATAGAAGTGAAGAGAGCATAGGATATTAGGAAATTTCATCCATTTATTTGTCCACTTCACCCTAACCATATTTGGTGAACATGGCTCCCGTTCACTTTGCTCTGCTCACATCAGCCAGTACATACTTTTAAAACAGATCAGGATTTTCCTAATTTTTTATTATCTTCATACCTCGCCTTTTCGGCATTAAGGTTTTTTTACAAGACCAAAAGAAGGGATGGGCTAATGCTAGAGTTAAAAGTACTGAAGGTCAATCTTTTATCAGGTTACCGTGCCACCCCAAACTCTTGGATTTAACAATTTGTCCAGTAATCTAATAGTCAGAAGGTAAGGGAAACCGGTTCTCCACCCACTTTTATTCACTGCTCGATTTATCCAATCCAATCTGATCACCTAAACAGATCTTTAAGTATGTAATTTTATTAATATTTAAAAGTCATATATACTTAATCAAACTAAGATCCATTTTGCTCAACTGTAGCGATTGGATTGAAATAAATGAAATTGCATGTTTCAAAAGTATTACATAAATAAAAGAAAAATTACCTTTAACAATACTATCATTATTCAAATTAAATTAAATTCACTTCTATACGTTTCTCTTAATATTACAAACAAGTTTTTCATATACCTTTTTGAATAAACATTTAGACTTTGAATTAATAAATTGAAAATAAATCAAGTGAATAATTGATCTCCAAAACATTGAAACTTTCTGATAAGATTTGTTTTCTGTTATTATATATATATACATATTTTTTTTTACCATATAAACTTTGAAAGTGACCATGTAAATCGATTTGAGCCAATAGAACAGATTTTTTTTTTAACCCTTTGACTGCGAACGGGATAAATGCCTTCCTGGTAGCGAGTTACATCACTGATGTGACGGGATATATACCTTCCTATCTTGGCTGTCACCACTTAAAGGATGTAAGGGCAAGTCCCGTCTTCACAATTTGACCTGTGGCTTGGTAGGTGCATTTTATTAGTCCCCTGTAGCTGACTAAGTGTGGTGATTCTGGATTTTGACCATTTGGAAGCTATCAGGTGCAGATTAATTCTGAACCCAACGTATGTCCTTTCTCCGTTATTTGTGTCATATACATGAAATTATTTATATTCTATTCAAATATTTTGTACAACAAATAAATGTTAATAAGTCAATTTTATAAATTTAGGTTTTGACTGAATTATGATTTGGGTACACGTGAATCTCTGTCTACTAAACAAATAAAAAAAATTTGTAAAAACAAATAAATGTATAATTCAAATCCTGCTGCCAGTGTCCTTTTTTAGAAATAATATAAATTGATTATTATGATCACTTACAGTTATTTTTATGATAATTTTCAGTTATTTTGCTTTTCAGAAATGAGCGAATGCGCAAGGAAGTGAAGTGTTGCGGGGTCGACTCTCTAATTTTGCATTGCCATGTGCGACCGGGAAGGCATATTTCCCGTTTATTAAAAGTTAAATAAAAAGATTAAAATGCATTTTTGAAAGCTAAGATCTTGCAGGGTGACACAAAATAGTATTTTAAACAAATTTACGCACAAAAAACTTTGTTTTTCTGAACGTCTTTTTGGATTTCAGAACCCGCCATCTCGTATAAGCATTGGAATGAGCTCCCGCAGTCTAATGTTTAATGCCTACGCTAAGAGCGAGCGGGAAAAAAACCTTATCATTTAACATTTTATACATTACCATATCAGATTTAAGCAGTTCGAAGGATGATATGAACACCAGAATCAGTAACAACCGGCTCAGACAGTTCTCCAACTTTTAATGAAAAAGCAGCTTGTTCAAAAGGCTTCTGCATTGCACCATGGCCAAAGGGACCCAAGTCTCCGCCCCGTTTAGCTGAACTACAATCAGAATACTTCTGGGCAAGCTCTGCAAATGAAGCTTTTCCTGAAGCAATTTGCTCTCTGTAAGCTGTTAACACACAATATTATTTAATTGAGTTGTGATAACAAAAATGCTGAAAATTACAACATAATAGTAAATTATTTCAAAAAAATTATATATAAAAAATATCTGTTGTATCCCTCAGACATTTCAATCAAAATCCTTGCATCAAGACTGTCCACATAGATTGTAGGGAAAGCCATTTTGAAGAACTCATTTGTACTATAAAAAAATCTGGTGCACGCAACAAAAAACTTTCACTTACCGCTCTACTTTGTATAGAAATTATTTTCTGTCAATGTTGTGCTTTTATTTTTGAAGTGCATTTTAAATAGAGCTAAAGTTTAAAGCTTACAGATAACAAATCATTAAGACCATTAAAATTACAAAAACTCAATTTATTATATCAACAATAGACAATAAAAATCTAGTTAATCCATCTGCTTTGGTATACCACATAACTACAGTCTCTGATTTATGTGTGCCTTTCAGTTGACAGAATAATTAACACCAATTAAGGATATTTCTAGTTGAAAAAGTTATATCTATATAGACAGTGAGTAAGTAGATTACAGAGTAGGCGATTACAGTGTTGAAATATAGAACTGTGAATAAAGGTATACATTTTGCCACTAGAAACATCACTAAAATAAATAAGAAAGAATGTTGAAATTTGAGTTAGTCATTCAGTCAATCGAAAGGCTCATATATGCCTAGAGAGATTTGAAAGTATATCTGAATATTTAACCTATAAGATTATTAATTGTAGGACTATTAGTTATTGAATTGTTATTTTCCATTGTAAAATTTAATAAAATGAAATTATGTGATTCATTGCCTGTCATGGATAAGTGAAAACTTGTCACACTAATTGTAAGTGGATAATGTTGGGATTTCAGAAAGGGAAAATTAATCAAATAATTCACTAATTTAATTTTCTAAAAGGAGCACTTGATGATTTTTCAGAATAAATGGGCGATAGATTCCTAATTAATTAAATATAATATCTGATCAAGAGTTATTAAACTATAGTAAATGTTATAAGGTATAGTCATATCTATGAAATATTTTTATATTTCAATTCTTCTTTCACACAAGTACAATAAAATCCTATTTCAACCCATGTCATTGCCTTGATTTGATGGATTTTAAATGCTTTTTTATCAAACTTAAACTTTTTTTTAAAGTTTACATTTAGTAAGAAAATTTCCTTGGTAATATGCGATTTACGTTAAATAATGTTAGTTTTCAGAAATTAATATTTGTGTTTTTTTACTCTCTGTTACCTTCTACAACTTTATTTATTTGATATTGTTTTTTCTAAAAGTCTCCGCTTTCCAAGGATATATCGTACATATACCTTCTGACTGTTATTTCCGGAGATTCATTTTCAACTTGGATAAGCATTTTTCTTTTTATCTCCACCTTCCAATTATCATATTCTTTCAAACTCCATATTTAGCCATTTTTTATAGTTACTGTCAATAAAAGAGTTAATTTTTTTAAATAAACCATATTAAACGTACTTTAGAGTGACAACAATGGGGATAAGATCTAAATGATATTAAAGAACACTTAATTATACAATGATACACAGAGTTTAATCAAAATCGTTAGAACCATTTTTGAGGAAATTGTAAATATGTGTTTCAGCGTTGATATAAAGTGGCACTTCCAGTAGGCTGATTTTAAGCAAAAATTTGCTGCAACATCTGAGTTATATACCTATCTTAAATACTTAATATCAATTTCGTACAACTTTTTGTTTTTGAGCTAGACTGTTCACATACACACAGACCTTTTTGCTGGACTTGGTAATTTGGACTCAGAGAACTTCAAAACGTGTATTTCCGTTGAAAAATCAGATTTGGAATTTTCATGATCGCAATACTTTTTCTAACTATATATTATATATACAGATAGAAGAAAGTAATTATTGACATTAGATGGGGATTATAAATATGTCTGCTACAGGGAAATTTCTGTTATGAGAAGTTTCATCCTATATATAAAACCTTTGTAATCAACCAATCAAATAACATAAAAAAATCGTAAACCCTAAAATTTTGTTAGGTTTATTAATTGGAAGGTAATTAAATTGTATAAGAAATAAGAATTGTTAAAATAGATCTAGTATTAGATGAGATATTGGCACTTTGAATTTTGTATGTATAGTTTCACTTATTACAATAGCGCTACTATAAAACAACAGTAACATAATTAAGTCAAAAATCAAATTTAAGATGAACTGTTTCAAATATTAGAAAAATTGTTTACAAAATACATACGTATGAAAAATATTAACACTCACACATCACAAGTTCCATAGCTTCCTCTTTGGATCTGGTAATGTTTTCTTCCCTCCATGAGCTCGGTCTACGAGATCCTGAGTGCTTGACTAAGAGATGGCTACACTGAACTTGTTCTGGTCCACCAGTGGCAGCTGCTGGAGGTTCAGCTGGTTTGTCTGGCCTTTCCCATTGGCTTTCTTTTGTGTATACATTTAAGTAGTAATGCTGACCTAAAAAACAAATACAATAAGGAACTTAAAAATGGCTATGTAATGGTAAAATGTAATTAACATCTATGAAGCAATGAATTAGGAACTTTACTCAGAGAACAACAATAAAATAGTGCTTTTGGGTTAGTTCCATTTCAGTTTTATATAACACAATCAATTCTTAAACTTATGAGCATGATTTCTCTAAGTGAATAACTGTTAAGAATGACATTAACAAATACCTACAGGAAAACCAGATAACCTTTCAATGCCTAGAAAGAACTTAATTCAATAATTTTCCTTAAATAAACAAATTATACCCATTACAGCCCAAGAATGGCATAAGGGACAAGCACTGATAGGGACCAAATTCCTAAACCCAGAGAATTCGTCAGATCATTTTACGTTGAAAGTTCCAGTAAAAACAACTTCATTGCAACAAAGCTTGCTAATTTATTTATTCTTTTTTGATCTAGCACAGAGCACAGCGAGATACTTTTCTATAGAACTTCATAGAAGGATTTATAAATCCTTTGGTCCTGTATCAGCTGTTTTATCTTTTTCCACCCCAAACCTCATCCATAAAAGGCCTCTTTTAATCATTCATCCCAAATCTTTTTATCTATGACAGCTCGATAAGTAGCTCGGGCTATATGATTCTGTGGCATTTAGGACAAGTCCAAACCATCTCAGAATGTTCTGCCAGAATATTCTCATACTAAATTAACATTAAGGCACGCTCACAATCTCTTTGTGTCTTATCTTTGACTGTCATGGGTACTATTTGATACCGTTGAGACTGGGATACCGTATCCATATAGCTTAGGAAACAAATGCTTGCACATTAGACTCTATTGCTTTCCCCACAAGAATTATAAAGCAATTAATTTTCAAGTGAAAATAAAATAATAAAAATAGAAAAATATGTTCCTAAACCTAGAAAAGAGGTTCTCTTAACTGAAAATAAATTAGTTAAGTTTACTTTAAAAATTATTTATATACAACAGACATAATTAAGCAACCAACACATCAGTAGTTCTCAAGTATGTTTACTATGAAACAATGTAACTTACAAATTCATGAACTTATAACTGTAGTAATTTATTCGCATTGTAGGAATTAAATCAAATAGCTAGTATTTAAAACGTTTCAGTTACTGAATATCTGCAATATTGATCTGAGCAGCAGAACAATGATAAAAATGAAAACCGTGTTTTCCATCATTCAGCAAATTTAAAATTGAGCAGATGATATATCTAGAGCACAACAATTTTCCTATTGAGGTGCTTACATAATTTTAGCTTTATTTACTAACATTCTTCTTCAATGATTGATAAACTTCTTTTTTGTTAAAAGAATGATTTCAACTGTGTTCTTAAATTTAGGAAAGCCATCATTTAGGTCAAATTCATGTTTATTATCAAATATTTGAATTCCTTAAAGCTAACCACCATGCATCAAAAGAAAATTAATAAAAAAAAATTGTCAATTCAAAGAAACACCTTTAAAAAATGTATGAACATTTTACTGATATGGAGCTCAATTTTTTATATTAAAAAAATAAATAAAAACCATTGATCTCACTCTAAACTAAAAAAAAAATATATATATATATATATATAATAAAAATAAAAGTATTTTTAAACGTAATATGAATTGTAAGGGAAGTTGATGTGGGTGGAGGGGGTAGATGAAAATAATATTAATTAAATATACTCTCTGAAATGTTTTATTCATTTATACGGTTTATTTAAATATTACTTTTATTTTAATGTGCATCATGACGATAAACTATGCTTGTGAGCTCACTAAATAACTAATTGCAAGATTTTTCCTGGTAAAATTTAATGGCAAAATGTCAGATTCTTTTTTTTTTTTTTAAGACTAGAAAATTTTTTAGTCTTAATGAAAATGAAGTACACAATGATTACAAAAACAGTCTTCCTAATAATGTTCGAGTTATACCTGTACCACTACAACCCATGAAGGGTCTTGGGTTCAGTACTATTTAGGGAAAGCACTGTTTCTAGGCCAACGGTTGTGCAAGGAGGTGATTTGTCCGAGATCACGCTCAACCGCCAGGTTTTTCTCCTTAATCAATTATTTTATTAAGGGTGGTACCCACTTTATAGAGGCAGGGTTGTGCCCCAGGAGGGTCTCCTGACCCAGGGTCGCACCACAGCCAATGAAACAGATAAATAAATTTTCTGCCATGAGCCGGGATTCGAACCTGGGACCTTTAGCATTGGAAGCTCAGTACCCTACCACTGAGCTACCCCACTCCCTAATGTTCGAGCTATAGGTATGTTAATTCTTTGATATGTATACTAATAAATACTTCAAGTGGATGATAACAAATATGATTTGTGATGAACAAAACATTACTTTTTTATAGTCCAATAACAAAAAAATATATCAAGGACCATAACTGTGTACTTCATGGTTTATAATACTCTACGGCAGATATCTAGACTTATGTAGTCTATTGATAATCTCTGGAACAACAGAAATTCTCTTCCTCTCCCTAAGCATGGAATTAACTGACCATTATTCTAATTTAAGAAGTTGTTTGGGGATACAGTCAAAACATGTATTATAGTAGCGTTTTTGGTTTTTTTTCCACCTCCTACAATAGATTTATAATTGACGTCTGGCATTAATTTAACATTACTGATATTTTAATTGTATGTACTTTGTACCAATTAACTATTTTTTAAATATTGTTCATTTAATCCTGATGAAGACCTACAACGTAAAAATGTTGGCAGACGAAATAAACACAACTATGATATACGGTAAGTCTGCTGACCACATCTCCTTAAAATAAGCAATTTATATTATGTAGTTAACTAACAAAAAAATTAAAGCATTGAAAATCCAGGGATTCATTAAATCAGTTATTTGCATTAAACTGAAAATTGCATTGTGGTAATTGTTACATGGGCATCTGTGTTTACGGATCAATATTTTAATGGAAAAGGAATCTTTTGGGATTACTTATAAATCTTTTCAGCAAGATAGAATAGAATATTTCCTTCTGAAAAATAAATAAATAATAAATTTAAATGCACTAAAGTTGTGAAACCATAAAATTTAGCATTCAAAGTAAACTTTAAATTAAATAATAATTCCAACCATAATTTAAAAAAAAATGGTAATAAAGAGAAAAAAAAACAGAGCAAGGGTGTAATTAAGTCAGTTGACAACATAAGAAAGTATTTCAATATTACAACATAAACTCCCACAATAAAGGAATATTTCAAAAGTAGCAAAATGGAAGTGGAAAAAAGCAGATAATATCCAATTCATTGCATAACATGCTTTATTATTATTTATTCTGCAACATTCAAAAATAAAGTTCAGGTTTTGGATCTGTTCAATATTCAGAGGAATCCCTTCAAGGTGATTAAATCCTTAAAAGCCTAATAGATATTGTAAAATCAATGTATCAAAACACAAAAGATATAAGATGAATAAGTGTGTCAGATGTATAAGCAATTAAAGGAGTGGAGTAAGAAGATAGCCTGACTACTAATATCTTAAGTATATAAGAATAAGATTTGAATAAGAAGGATAATCTTAACAGGATTCAAAAAGTGGAATCCCAGGACAATACTAAGGTAATGAAATTTATTTGCATACTGCAGTATTGTTTGTCGACATTTAAGAGAAATAGTAATATACAATAATACTGGTACTGATACTTGTTTGGGAAACCAGTCTGGCCAGTAGGCCCATCGTGGTCCTTTTTGTCAATCCCTTACGGCTACTTAGAGGTTGCCGTCACGTACTTACTAGAATGGGAACGTCAAGGTAGATATCCTGGGGCCACCGAGAAATCAAAATTAACGAACTCAGGTGGGAATCGAACACACAATGTTCAGAACCAGGCACTCTGGGACTGAAGCCCCAATGTGCTCGGCCATCCCGTCCTCCATACAATAAAAGAGTGGTAAAAAGAAGTTCAGCATAAAGTGAAGAGGTTTAATAATTCCAAAAGAAAGTACTAATAATCTTAAAGTTAGATGAAAGATAGGTGATACTATATTTCAATAGAGAATTAGGAAACGCAATCAACTTCGAAAAAGTAATTAGTACACCTGGACAGATAGACCAAGAAATTTCAAATTGAATAGAGAAAGCTAGACAAGTCTATTACCAGATTAATAAATAAAGGTTACAAAAAAATCTTAATTAACAAGGGAGGTAGAGCAATTAATTCCATGCAGTGGTTCTCCCTGCCTAGAGAGGGGAAATGAGAATTGGGTCAGCATAAACCAAAACAATGATGTTAAGAAGAAATATCTATCGAAGAAACAGTGATGGGGATGAAATAATTAAGGAAGACATAGAAGTGGTAGGTAGGGTGAGTAAAGGGCAGACCAGCCCTTTGTTGATGTAAAGGTCCAATTTCTAGAAACAAGAATAAGAGGATTATGAAAAGAAAAGATGCTTGTATGTTAGTTGAGATGTAGGGAAAACAGTTGTATAAATTAGATTGTTGCCTAAGGTGGATTGTCTCAATACTGAAGGTATATGGAGAAAGAAATATAACAATAATAATATGAAAAGAGTAATATTAAGGCCTTATTCATTTAAAACCAGTTATACAATTACAAATTTTTAAGCTGAAATCCCCACAAGAAAATTAGTTGAGGACATAAAACTTCTTTTCAAAGACAATTGTGATTCTGGTTTATATGAACATAATCCAAGTGAAAACAAAACTGACTGTCATGATACAAGTGAAAGGACAAGTAATAGTTAGAAAATAATAATAAATTACATTAAGAGGTTTAACAGAATAAGATAAGAGATTAACGCAAATACTGTACAAAACTACATGAAATGCCAGCAATTCTACTGATACCTATATAAAAATGATGTATAAATGTCAAATCTAACCGGTTTCCTAACAAACAATGAAATATTGATTGCACATGTCGTAACTCAATGATGCCTTTCACAACAAAAATACAACTGGAACGAAAAACTTGTGATACTGATAAATTGTTTATAGTAATTCTACAAAAATATTGTTTTCATAAACGAAAATATATAGATCACACACCCGTGGAACGGCTTAAACGTTTTTCCCACCCAGAAGGCAATTCTTCATCAGCCATTTTGAGATCTTTAGCAACGTAGCAACGTAAATAAATGTACTTGCTTGGACCTTGTAAATCTTAATCTTTTATTTCAGGTACATGCTTTAATGACCTACTCTAATATGTAAAAATATCTCGTGCTAAAAAAATATTACATATTTTTTCTTTTATCAGTAATGTTTAAACCTCGATAGATTGTATAGAGTTATTTATCAACTTTATATAGCAAAACATAATATAACAATGTAGATTGAATTTGTGTATTTTATGGTTAGTTATTAAGTCTTATTACTAGTCTATTTTTCCAATTATTTATTGTGCTTAATTAAAATACAATTTATTTTAAGTTTACCGTTGCAAAAGGTTTCATTGTGGTTAACTTGTAGATTTGACTTTGTCAAAAAGTTTTGAATGGAAAAGTATTTATTCATATATTATTTCGCGAATTACAGTGGTTAGCTGAGTTATAAAAAATCAAATAAAATGAAATATAGGTAAGAAGTTTTAACTTTATCTTCAGTACATTATTCTAATATTACACAATTTAACTTGGTCAGTGGTCTAAATGTAAATATTCTTCCGTTATTTCGCGGTTTTCGGAGTTAAGCAAGTAATAGATAATAAACTAAAATATAATAAGACCAAAAAAATGTGAAATTCATTTTTTGTATAGTATTGCAAAATAACTTTAATTCTATTTTGGGATTTA